GCCGTTGGCCTTGCGATTGGGAGTTCTCCGCTCTGTGGCCTCGGAAATTGCTGTTTGTATCAGCCAGCCCCGGAGCCAGGCAGATGGGGTTTCAAACACTGGCCCCACCTCCTGCTAGGCGTAGGATTTGGACCAGTCAATTAACCTCCCAAGTTTTTGTTGTATGACAAGTATTATTGTTACCATAAATCTATACATTATCCCACGGTTGAGAATAAAAGGAGAGGTGGGGATTGAACTCAAGGTATACTGACCTGGGGAGAAGCTTCGTGGCCTGAGACAGATCTCAGCCCCTGTTTGGAGCCTCAGTTTCCCCATCTGTAACAGGAGGGGCTGTCCTGGACAGCCCCTGCGAGCCCCTAGATCTATGACCTAGATGGAATGAGGTCCCCGTGGGCTGCTTTCTCACCCCATGGGCTGGAGAAGGTTGCCCCCCAGCAGCCCTTCATCCTCTGGGAAGCTGGTGTGGGGGTGATGACCAGGGAAGGAGGGACAGGAGCCGAGACCGAGTAAAGAGGACATGACTGGGCACTCCCTGTATGCCGGGCACTCTTCTAGCTTTACACAGACTAACTGGGTCCCCAGAACAAGCGTAGGAGTTGGTCCTAGTTAACCCACTTTACAGGCAAGGACACTTACATCCAAAGAGATTAAGTGATGTGCCCAAAGTCACAGGGCTGGTGAAATAGCACTTGAAGCCAGACGTCCCAGACCCCCATGGCTCCAAAGACTACGCTCTGAACCACTGAGTGATGCTAGCTCTGGGTCTCCCGGCAGAGACAGAGCCATGCAGAGAGGGAGAGACAGGGGCAGAAGGAGCCCCAGGAGCGAGGCATGAGGAAGAGAAGCTGCAGGGGAGGGGGTGGGACTCTCCCCTGGGAGCCAATCGCCTGTTGAGTCTCAGGGTCGTTGTGCCCCAGGGCAGAAAATGCACAGCCCTGGCCCCAGGATCACCAGGAAGGAGGCACCTGCTGGCCTCAGAAGAAAGCTGGCCTGAGCTGTTTGTTTAGCGGCCAAAGAGCCACACCCAAGGTGTACGTGGGCGCTGAGCCGGGCCGCTCTGGTCCCCTGGGGACGCTGCAGCGCAGGTGGCCCCACTGAGCCGCTCGCTCCGGGGCAGTGTGCTCTCAGACGCTATGTGCGCAATGTTTGTCAGCTCTTGACACTAATATTATTTAAGGCCCAAAGTCTAATGTAAGGCTTCCTTTTAGCAAGATTGTCTCATTTAATAAAACTCCCTGTCTCTGTTCCCCCCAAGGTAATCACGTTGATGATAACGCATTCCCTGCGCTGTGATTTGATCTGGGAATAGAATTATCACACCGCCTTGCGTTGCTGTCAGATGTTCTATTTGTATTTTTTTTCTCCCTCGAATAGGTAACTAGGAAGCCATCCAGGTGCAAGGTTCTGCTCACCCAGGGCCTTCCAGGGCTGGCCTCCTTACCGGTCCACTTCCTGTCCTCGGGAGTCACTCATTGATTCGATCAACAAACATTTCCCAAATGTCCACACCCTAGGCCACCCCTACATTGCTGTGGCCTGAGTCTGGTCTGTTTGAGTCTCTGTTTATCGCTGGGTGGAAAAGACATAGCAAGCCACGAGCTTAAAAGTCGATCAGAGCCCAGTTCAAACCCCAGCTCTGCCTCTTATCAATTGTGTGACCCAGAGCAAGTCACCTCACCTCATCGAGATGCCACCTACATCATGGGGATGCCGTGGGCAGGGCCAGGACAAGCATGACCCAGTGATGTCCCCGGGGCACAGACATTACAGAGGGGCACACCCTCAGCACCCCCCCACCCCCACACTTGCACAGCCCTGGGAGGGAGGGCCTCAGGAAATTCTGTGCACTCTTAAGAAGGAGGAGGATTAAATGAGATGATGTATACCAAGTGCCCTGCATGTGACACATGCTTGGTACATTGTTGCTATCATCACCATCACCACCATCATCATCATCATCACTATCGCTGTTCATCAAGTGAGAATGAAAGCTCTTTAAATTCTCTAAAGGGGCTGGACTGGTAATGTACAGAGCGGGTGCCAGGCTGGGAATTCTCATCCCATGTGCCGTGTGGCCGGGGGCTGGTCACTTCACCTCCCCGGCCTAAGTGCCCAGGTGTGAAGCGATAGCGTTATTAAACCTGGTGACCCAGGCACGTGCGAACATGTGCAGAACATATCACTCACCACACTCTGCCCTCTGTCCTTGGCTAGTGCACACAGAAGGGCTAGGAGCCTGGCGGGCCCCAGGGAGTCCCCTAGCCTGAGGATGCCACCCACAAGGTCACACCTGGCCAGCCACTGAGCCCAGCAGGCAAAGAGCTCAAGGGCTCTAGGAGAGCCGGCTCCAGGGCTGGGCTGGGCTGGGCTGGGCTGATGACTTCCTCCTGACCACACGGCACTAGCAGTGCCCTGGAAAAGCGCACGAAATGCAGAGCCAGGGATCTGGGTTCAAATGCTGCCTCCTCTGAGCATTTGCTATGAGACCTTAGGCACTCTGAGCCCAGTTCCTTCTATACCTCATGATGTATCATGACAGTCCTGGCAGGAAATGGTCACTCAAGAGGGGTGACTGAAGAGAGTTTAATGAAGGAACTATTTTAAAAAGTATGAGCTCCTAGCACTCTGGGAGGCCAAGGCAGGTGGATTGCTCAAGGTCAGGAATTTGAAACCAGCCTGAGCAAGAGCAAGACCCTGTCTACTAAAAATAGAAACAAATTAATTGCTCAACTAAAAATACATAGAAAAATTAACCGGACGTGGTGGCGCATGCCTGTAGTCCCAGCTGCTCGGGAGGCTGAGGCAGGAGGATCACTTGAGCCCAGGAGTTTGAGATTGAAACTCCAGAAAGGGCTGCTGAATCGCCCCAGCGTTAACAACAGTGGGAGGTGCTACCATCCTCGGGCTAAAACGGAAGGGGAAGGAACAGTTCCTGGAACCCCTGTGGGGCCAGAGCTGCCACAAAGCAGATGACAAGTCAGCGGGAGCCATGGCAACTGGCAGAGGAACACAGTCAGTACCAGCCCATGCAATGTTTGTTGACTGAACCAGTGAGTGAGCAAGTAAATGAATGAATCTGATCTCTAGCCAATTCATCCTGTGACAGATCACATTCTCCAACTGGCTGCTTCAACAACTCTTATCCCACACGCTCTTTTTCCAATGGGGCTTCAACATTCCTTGAATCCAGGCACAGCTGTGATTAGAGCAGAAGTGACACCATGTGACATCTGAGGTTGGGTCATAAAAAGTGATGCACCTTCCACCTGGTTCTCTCTGGGATGCTCATTCTTTGAAGACAGCCACCATGCTGCGAGGAAGCCCGAGCAGCCACGTGGAGAGGCCGCCTACAGGCAGCGCGGTGGGCTGCCCCAGCTGAGGTCCCAGCCCAGAGCATCAGCGGTCACACTGCCAGTGAGCGAGCCTTCAGATAATTCCATGTCCCACCTTCTGACTCCTCAAGCCCGATGTCCCAGACCCCAGGGAGCAGAGACGAGCCACCCTTGCGTGTGCACTTTCTGAATTCCTGGCCCACAGAATCCACGAGCACAAGAAAATGGTGGCTGCTTTAGGCCACGATGCCTGGGCAGTTGTTTTGGGCTACAATGTAGTTAGTTATGCAGAAACAGTAACTACAACAAATTGCACTGTCTGAACTCAGCCGGAAGCCGGTGAACAAGTGAATTGTTTGCTTCCATCCGTCAGGGTCGCCCTCCCACGGCACACAGCAAGGTGGAGAATGAATATGAGGACAAAATGGAGAAAAGCACCGCAAATAGGGAACACAAAAGGGGAAGAGCTTTAGGATCCAGAACCTACTGGGTGCTCCATCTATCCTGGCGGAACCTAGAGACACATTCCTACAGGGACAGCCAGTCTCACTCATGTGCACTATTGCCCCGGCCGCCTAGATTAGCCTTTTGCGTCTCCCGCCTGTCTTTCCCACCCCCACCCCCACCCCCGATCACCCAGCCTTGCCCACGCTGCCTTCTCCCGGGCCACTCCCTCCCTTCTGAGCCTGCACAGCCTCCCCAGCCCCAGGGCTCTGACACAAACTCCACCGCCCGCAGCCAGCGCCAGCGGAGGCTCTGCACGCTGCAGCCTGGCAGGGTTGGGGGTGGCAGGGTGGCCGGGTGGACTGCCCTCCTCACTCTGCCATACACACTCTAGGCACGTGCCCTCCCCTTGCGCTGGTCTCGTTGGCGTTCCCTCCCACCGCGCGTCCAATGCCGCCGGCCCCATGGAGCCTTCAACGAATTAACCCACCACCACTACCAGCCTCTGCCTCCCCTGAACCCTGTCCCAAGACACAGACGTGGTTGTACCTTTCCTGAAATCGCTAACAGAAGAACTGGGCGCCATCACTGTGCGAGCTAGCATATACGAGATCTGTCTCCCCAGAAATCTAGAAGGGCTGCTCCAAGTTCCATGCGTGCTCTCCTTCCGTAGCCCCGGGCAGAGGTCCCCTCCACCCCTGCCTATGCTAGGCATCCGCCACCAGCCCGTGCAGCCTCCCGCCTCCCTGCGTGCCCGCAGCCGCTCATACACGCTTCCCGCACCCCAGAGCTCCCGGATCATAACTAATCAGTTACTGAACCATGACTGCCACGGCGAGGGCCCGTGTCTTCCTATTGTTCCCAATAAAACAAAACCCACACTTAGCACCGCAGTCATTGTGAATAAAGCAACTTTGCATTTTCTTGTTTAATCCTCACAGCAACCCAGTGAGGAGCTGCTATCATTACCCTCATCACGCATGGGACCACTGAAGTTCAGGGAGGGGAGGTGACTTGCCCAAGGTCACCGAGGTGGGAAGGACCAGGGCCAGGACTCAGAGCCAGGCTTGGCTGACTCAGAGGTCAGCACTGTCCCATGCTTCATGGCCTGCCACCCCTCCAGCTCCAGCACTCTGAGCATGAGGCAGAGCAGGCACATGCTAAATATTTGTGGAGCTGCACGAAACCTTAACCAATTCTCGTGGCGTGACTAAAGCTCCGATACCGAACAGAAACCAAACCACCTCAGTGATTTCCAACTCAAACACCACCAGCCGCTGCGTGAATTCTGATGCACTGATGTCTTTTGTTTTTTTGGAGGGGTTTTGTTGCTCTCAGCAACAAGAGTCGGCAGCGAGGAGGTACACACCGTTCCCCTGGGGAATAGCTTCCGCACGGCATTCCAGATGAGAGATGGGGAGACATTTTAGAACAAAAAGCTTCTGGTTATCACAACAGCACGGACAGGAGGCAGGCAAGGACTCTGGGTCTCATTTAACAGCTCAGGCCTCTGAGTCAAGGGACGTGTTTGAGGTCACTCAGAGAGGTGGGTACAGATACCACCTGTCTTGATGCCCAGGCTTGGGGGAGGCAGGTCTTGCAAGTCCCGTGCTACCATCATCTCCAAAGTGACTGGCTCTGAACCCACAGTCCTGTGGGAAGAAAGGACAGAGGGCACAGCGCTAGGGACCGGTGTGGCAGCCTCACTTGATCAGGGGCCCAGCTCCAAATCCTGGCAGACCAAAAAGAAGCCTGCCCAAGGGAAGGGCTTTATTGCCCCCACCTCGCCCACCCCTCTTCCCCCTCCGCCTTCCCCATTTCTGCATGCAGCAGGCAGATAATCAGAGCGTGGCACTGGATCTCCTCCTCAAACCACGCTTTGCAGAGGAAAAGGAGGGAACCTGGCAGCCCACGTGTCCTCTAGGCAATTGGAGGCTCTGCCTGGGCATGGCGGTTCCCAAGGGACTGCGGCCCTCAGAAGGCCCTTCTGGCCAGGGAGTGGCTGGAAACTCCCCCACCCCAATCTGTCGGGGAGCCAGGTCCTCAGCCCTGGGATGGAAGGAGATGTGGGTAAGGAGAACCCACAGCAGACTGGAGAGCAAGTCTTCTCAACCTGTGACTCCTTGTGTGACGTTGGGCAAGTCACATCTCTCCAGACTTCAGTTTCCCCATTTGTGAAATGGGACTCATATTACCTGCTGATGCTACGACTTGGGGTAACCGTCTATCTGCAGAGATAAAACGATGACATTCAGCATCGCATGTGCTTTATCATTGGCTCCCAACTCCTGCTCATGACTTGAGCTGTCCAGGGCCTGTCCTCAGGGGCTGGAGGTCAGCTGCTCTGGCCTGGGCCAGCAAAAGGCCAATGGACCAGCCTGGATGATCAAGTGTGGTTACCCATGGCAACTAGTATGAGGCCACATCCAAGGGACAAGGTCAAGTCTTAGTCGAGAAAGAGCTAAGCCAGTTTCTCAGGAGCAGGATTAGGCATTAGCACAGAAGGGAGAAGAGGCAGGGCTCAGAAACCACAGATGAGGCTGGACCTCTGCAGGGTGGTGAGGCCAAAGCTCCAGAAAAGGCTGGGAACCAGACCCATTCCTGTCAGGCCATAGCCACCCAGTGTAAGGCATGGCCGTACACAGCCTACAACACATGGGCCAGGCTGCCAGGGGCCCATGAGGCCAGAGTTTGGAGAGGGGCAGGCCCCTGTGGCCGAGAGGAGACCCAGACCCAGCAGTCTTCAGCTGGCAAGTCGAACCCTGGTCAGCTTGACAATATTATGCTCTGAAGTCTTTGTGTATGCATGCACTTATAGCTTGCCTTGTTCCCAAAACATCGACTTAAAGCATATACAAATCCACAAGGGGTTATAAGGATATATAAAGTACCATAATAAAACCTAAATTAGAAACAGGGAGGCTGAGGCAGGAGGATCACTTGAGGCCAGGAGTTCAAGGCTGTGGTGAGATATGATCACACCACTGCATTCCAACCTGGGTGACAGACAGAGACCCCATCTCAGGAAGGAAGGAAGGAAAGAAGGAAGGAAGGAGGGAGGAAGGGAAGGAGAAAAAGGAAGGGAAGGGAAGGGAAGGGAAGGGAAGGGAAGGGAAGGGAAGAAATAAAATAGAAGAAGGGTCGGAAATCAGACTAATTCAAAAATGAAGACTATAAAGTCCTAAACATTATTTCAAAAGGTCAAAAATTTTAGATCTGAGCTTCCTGGTAGCAAGTGCAGAAGGGGAAAGCTGGTCAATTGCACAATCTTCATGACATTAAATAAGAAAGAAAGAACACCAGCCTGATGCTTAGGAAAATCATAACTGTCTCTGGTGGTAAAGCAAGCATTTTTCTTGACAGTCTTCATTGTAAAATTCTCAGAATAGACACAAAGACACGTCTTGGAGATATTTTTTGAGGAATAACATACCAACAGACAATTCAGTAAAAGTAGTCCTATAGTGACCAAAATAACATGCTACAGAAGTCATTCTCTCCTCCTATGGCTTAAGGCACTAATGAGGCTGGAATATTTTGAGCAAAAGCATTACTGCTCTTGTTATTTATTTATCAAAAATTCATTTGTGCAATGGGTATTTGCTGAGCACCTAATTAATTAGTGCCGGCATCATAGGAGGCTTTGAAGAAGCAAAAAGAAGCATGCTGCCCTCCTGGGCCTTAAGGACTCAGAAGGGGAAGCTGTAAGTAACCAGGCAGTTGCAGACTGCAGTGTGACCAGGTCCCTACAGCACATGTGAGGAATGAGAAACGGCTTGACATTGCACGCCAGGGAAGGCTGCCTGGAGGAAGTGAGGTCTGAGGTCAGCCTGAGGGAACAGTGGAGTTGGCCAGGGAAAGACCCAGAAAAAGGAGAAGTGGCAGTGACTGGGCCACCTGAAGTCAGGATGCTGAAGAGCCCATCACAGCCCAGAGCTGCCACTGGGACCACAGCCTGGGAAGGGTCCCAGAGGCTAGGCCTGGCTGGTTGGGCACATCATCTGACCACACTGTCAGGACCAACCTCAGGCCAAACTGAGTGTGGCCAGGCTGGGAGCAAATGCCCCAGCACCTTCTCTGGGCCCTTTCAGCTCCTGGCTGGTGCCCCCTTCTCTCTTCCCAGGGGTGGGCCCTGCTGCCCCAGACTCGGGGATACGGGGCCTTTCTGAGTCGTGCACAGCCAGGGCAGGCTCAGCTTGGAGAGAGGCAGCAGGTAGTCCCATGGGCAAGCCACCCTGGGATACAAAAACCAACACAATTTATCTCAGAGCTGACAGGGACCTTAGACATCAGCCAGCACAACTCCCTCACCTTACAGACAGGGAAACTGAGACCCAGAGAGAGAAATGGACTTATCCAAAATCACGGACTGAGACTCCAAAAGTCAAGAGCCCAGAGAGAGCAGAAGGAAGGAGGAGCCCAGGCGAGTCAGCCAGGAGCCCTGCTGGGAACATGGTGGAAAATTCCAGAAGAGGTTCAGCAAGGGCAGAAGGAGCCCCAGGCTCAGGGTCCATAGTGAGACCTTGCCTGAGGGCCCATTCCACCCAGAGCCACAGTGTCCCCCTCTGTTCAGTGGGGAAGATGCTGACCTACCCCACAAAATCACTGGGAGGACTGGACAGCACTTTGTAAATGGCAAGGTCCCATGCACATGGAGATCATACCAGGGACCAGAAAGAGGGTGACTTCAGGAGTAAGAATGATGGGCCACACTGTTCGGAGCACTTACTGTGTACTAGGCACTGCTTGCCAATAACCCCTTAAGGCAGGTATTTATCATCCCATCTTACAGACAGAGAAACTGAGTTCAGTCACTTGCCCAAGATCTCATACCTCAGAAGAGGTGGGATGAGGATCGGAACTCTTAACCGTACATGAGAGGGCCAGAAGCAGACCCAGATTTGGGGAGCTCATCTCTGAGAAGGGAGGAGGCAGAGGAAGCTGAGCACGCTAACCCCCAGGAGACAAAGAGCCCCCCAGTCTCGTGCCTTCCCCTTTGAGCAATGCTTTGCACTGAGGGTGTGAGCCTGGCCAGCCTCCCAGGGGCTTTGGAGTGAGAAGGTCTGGGTGGGACCCCTGAGATGACCACACAGTGCTTCCTAGCTGGCCTCGCTGGCCTGCTTGTTCATTGCTGTGTAACAAATCACCTCAACACCCAGTGGCACAGAGCAATTTTACGATGTCCCCAGATTCTGCAGGCCAGAGTTCTTTCAGAGCACAGCAGGGGGGACCTGTCTCTGCTCCACGATGTCTGGGGCCTCTGCTGGGAGAACTGAGATAGCCGGGGTGGCTAGGTGGTGGAGCTCAGCTGGGGCTGTGGACTGGAGCACCTGGCCATGGCCTCGCATGTGGCTTGGGCTTCCTCACAACATGGCCGCCTCAGGAACAGTGACTCTTCCTACTTCTTACCTGGTGGCTCCGGGCTCCAGAAATGAGTGTTCCAGTAACATAATGGAAGTTCCATGATCCCTGCTGACTTAGGGTGACTTCTGCCATACTCTAAGGGGTGAAGGAGTCATATATCAGCACAGATTCAAGGGGAGGGGACATAGCCCACCTTTCTCAATGGAAAGACTGTCACAGTATTTGCAGCCACGTTTTAAAAGCACAATTGCCACGGGTTGCCCAGCAGCCTGGCAGGGGAACATGACAGGGACCCGTCCCTTTGTGGCATATTCAAATAGGCTGATGGAAGTAAGGGTCATTCGGGGCAGACCCAGGGCACACCCAGGCCCACCTAGTCCTCCTCCTCCTGTGCCACCGGCCCCTTGCACCCCACCTGTGGCACCCTCCGCCCGAATGACCAAGAGGTTAGACCAGGCACTCACAGGGGCAGGGGCTCAAACCCACCTCTGCCACCGTAGGCTGACCTTGAATGAATCACATGACGTCTGGAGGTTCCGGCTCCTCACCTGCACAGTGGTGGACGCTTCCTCTCTTCTGGGGTTCTGAGTTGGAACAGGAGAGAGAACATACATAAAACCCAGTCACCCAGCAGCTCCCAGAGAATGCTGGCTTCCTTCCAGGCGGAAGAGGGTGGGGCGGGGTGCCACATGCAGGGAGAGGATCCGATGACCTGACTCACCGGGTTCTCTCCCAGGGACTTCACCAGGGTGGCGTGTCCACACTTGAAGCCGTGGTAGGCACCTCTCAGGCCTGTGGCTCCCGGCTCTAATTACAGCTTTCTGGACACGTTTCCTGTTTGGGAGCTGGCAGGGTCCCCTCGGAGGATCCACAGATAATGAGCAGCTGGCTGCAGAGCCTCCCTCCACGGGGGGACGGACCCAGAAGCAGGCCCAAGCAGGCCCACCCCTGAGAGCAAAAGGCCCCAACGGGTCAGCTGGTCCCAGTCCTGCCCCTTCCCTGGACACACTGACACAGGACCACAGCTACAAGACTGCCAGCCTCTGTGTCCACAGCTCCAGTGACCAGGGGCTCCCCACCTCACGGGCAGTCTGCTGATCTCCAGCCAGCACCGGACACACTTCCCAAAGCAGCCTGTCCTTTAACTTCTAGCTGTCGCTCCCCAGGCCCACCGAGAACAAGGCATCGTGGAGCAGAAGGAAGGACACAGCCTCTGGGATCAGGAAGAACTGGCTTTTGGTCCAAATCTTGGTTTTCAGGCTCTGCAGCCTTGGTCTCTTGGAGCCTCAGTTTCCTCGTCTATCAAATAAGAATAATACTACCAGGATGAAGGGAAGCTGGGAGAGTGGACCGCTATAACATGCATGAACACACCCGGCACACAATACATGCCAAGTACATGCGGCTCCCTCCCCCTTCCCCGGCGGACAGCTGCATTAGGTGGCTTCTTTAGACTTAGAGACCAGAGACAGAACATGCTCAGACTCAAGCAAGTGACCAGCCTAAAGAACCACTTGTATCCCTGGAGAACTGAGGAAGCAGAGGCCATGTCCTCGGCTACATGGCAGTGCCCCGTGGCAAGCTGGAGGGGCCGTGGTCCCAAGCCTTCTCGTTTCAACTCCTAGGTACAGCTGAATGTCTACTGATTGAAAAGCAGCTGGATAGGCCGGGCGCAATGGCTCACGCCTGTAATCCTAGCACTCTGGGAGGCCAAGGCGGGAGGATTGCTTGAGGCCAGGAGTTCAAGACCAGCCTGAGCAAGAGCGAGACCCCATCTGTACTAAAAATAGAAAGAAAATAGCCAGACAACTAAAAATATAGAAAAATTAGCCAGGCATGGTGGCGCATACCTGTAGTCCCAGCTACTCAGGAGGCTGAGGCAGGATTGCTTGAGCCCAGGTATTTGAGGTTGCTGTGAGCTAGGCTGACGCCACAGTACTCCAGTCTGGCAACAGAGTGAAACTCTGTCTCAAAAAAAAAAAAAAAAAAAGGCGGGTAGATGGAGGGATGGATGGATGGACAAATGGACAACTAAACAGACAGTTTAAAAATGAATGGGTTTCTAAATTCCACCAGGAACACCCACCCACCCCGTTTATTTTGACACAAAGTCTCACTCTGTTGCCCTGACTAGAATGCCGTGGCATCAGCCTAGCTCACAGCAATCTCAAATACCTGGGCTCAAGCAATCCTGCCTCAGCCTCCTGAGTAGCTGGGACTACAGGCATGGGCCACCATGCCTGGCTAATGCCAGGCTGGTCTTGAACTCCTGTCCTCAAGAGATCCTCTTGCCTTGGCCTCCCAGCATGCTAGGATTACAGGCATGAGCCACCACACCCAGCCCCACCCCCTTTTAATTCCAGCCAAACTGAACATCATCTTTTTGTAAAGAAATAGTGTAAAACAGTGATGTTTAAACTTTCCTAAGCATCAGATAAGGCCTGGAAAACACAGATTCCTGGATCCAGCTCCAGAAATTTTGCCTCAGAAGGTCTGGGGTGGGGTCTGAGATCCTGTGTCTCTAACCACCTCCCAGATGCAGCTGAGCCACAACTCCCAGGCCGTGCTGTGAGCAGTTCTGGAGGAAAACAGAACAGCCGACTTACAACACCCTTTGGAAAACAAGCCCACAGCTGAGATGAGGTCACCTGGCCTGGGAGAGTTCAGCAGGAGGGAGAGGGAGAGGGGCCCCTCCCAGCCCTGGGTGGGGGCGTGTGGTAGGACACCAGCCCCCACCTCCAGCCCCTTCAAACCTCCCGTTCTCCATCTCCAGCCCCAGCCCTCTTAGAAACCCCCAGGAAACCACCATGGCTTCATACCGGCAGGGCTCTGGTCCAGAAGATAACATCTCCCTGCAGGAGTTTGGGCTGCACGGAAATCCCAATAAATAGGGCAGGGTGTGCGGAGGCCCGGGCAGGCCACCCACTCACTATAGGCCTTGGGCAAGGGGAAGAAGCCCTGGAAAGAAGAGTCTAGTCTGGCATCCCAGACACACACACACACACACACACACACACATGTGTACAAACATGTACACACGCACAGGCACATGGAGGGGACAGCCCCAAACCCTCCCCCAGACGCCCATCAGCTCTTCCTTGCTGCCGGTCCCACAGCTGATGGCAGCGGAGCCTCAGTTCAGGCACTAATACGTTGCATGACCTTAAACATGTCCCTTCTCCTCCCTGTGCCTTAGTTTCCCCATCTGTAAAACAAGGTAGGTGGGCAAAGCCTTGCCTAGGGAAGGAACTTATACTGCCTGAGCCACTGATGCTTCATTTATTCTTGTGTCCAACAGGTGTTTACTGAGCCATTGCTGGGAACGAGGACCTGGTCCAGAGCACTGAACAAGAGAGACGGGACGACACTCACGCCTCGTGGAGCTGGCTCCACCAGATGCCACATCCCTACGATCTCATTTCACCTTCACTACAGACAACCATGGGAGCTAGGCATCCTCCTCCCTGCTTTATAAATAAGGAAACTGAGGCACAGAGTAAGGGGCAGAGCTGGGGTTCAGACAGTGTTCCACACACTGTCACACAACCCTGAGACCTCCACCCCGACCGAGGCTATGTCCTCTAGCTCTCTGCTGGGATGGGAGCTGTCCCCTCCTCAGCACCCTGCCCCCCCTCCTCCAAATTCCACACCCCACAAGGAAGTGGAAAGACCAGAGGCCATGGAGCAGACTGTTTGCACACCCCGCCCAGACTTGGAGGTTCCAAGCTGAGCCAGGGCTTCAGCAATTCCAGGCCAAGCTGCTCAGACCCTCCCTGGGCACTGGGTGTTCTGAGTCATGAGTGCTCTAGGAGCACTGGCAGGTCCTGTTCAGGCCCCCATCCCCACCCACCCTGTTCATCATACATGACCGGAGAGACACAGCAAGCCCAGGTCTCAGGCACTAAGGCAGCATGGCACCAAAAACGAGGCCAGCCCTGCTTCTGCACACGTTCCACACTTTTGCAATCCAGAAACTAGAAAGAGCCTATTTTAACTGCAACATACAAGGAAGCTCAGTGTCACTATGGAAAGTAAACTCTATCTTGAGTTACTCAGGGTGGGACCAAGCACCACCATGATCTTGTCAGTGCCTGGGGCCCTATAGGTCTGAGCCAGCCTTGGCCCGATGCCTCACTTTCCCACTTTGAAGATGTGCCCAGTCATTTCCCACCGCCTGGAAAACTTCCCCTCTCCTTTCTGTCTCCCCAGGATGTTCAGCATTCATGGCTTCATCCACCTCCTGCGCCCTCCAGGAAGCTGTTCTCAGTCCAGCTGCCACCACCCCAGCTCACAGCTCCAACCCAGATTGCTGAGCTCCGGGAACCGTGTCCCGCCTTGTCCTGTTTGCTGGGTTCCTATGGCGTTCGTGAGGTTGAGGAGGGTTGTGGCACCACCGACAGGCCCTGCAGGGGCATCAGGCACCATCTCAGTCACTGGGTCTTTTACGGGGTCTGCATTTGCCTTTTACACTCTTCCTTCTGCAAGCGTACATTGGGGGAGGCTTCATGACTGACTCTCAACAGGTTGAATGCAGAAGCAGGCAGGAGAGCCCAGTTGTTTTCTGTTAAGCAAATCACCAAAGAGACTCACAAAAACATAAAGGGATGCCACTCTTCTACTTAAGTCTCTGTGTTTTAAAAAATAGTTATTTTCATGAAAAATATATTACCTATGTTAATATGCAGTAGTTTATTCTTTTTGCTCTTAAAGAATTAATATTTTGTAATTTCTTGGTTTTCATTTCTAACATGGTAGATATCCTGAGATATTTAACAATATTTAACATAAACAAAAGGATCTTTCAGATCCTCAACAATTTTTCAGAGTAACAGGGTCCTGGGGCCAGGTTTGAGAACCGCTGGCGGAAGTGTCCCACACGCCGCAGCTGATTGGACGAGGGATGGGGCCTGGCCAAGAGGCAGCCAATCCAGAGGCAGATGATGGGTGGGACCTGGCAGGTGCTGAGAAGGTGACCAGGGCTGTGGACCGTGAACTGGGCAGTCGGCCTAGGGAGGAGACCAGAAAGGAGGGAAGCCAGGGGAGAATTGGGGCCGCAGGGAGGCCACATCTGTGAGGAGCATGGGCTGAGGTCCAGGTCAGACACCCAGAGAGGAAGAAGAGAATGCGGGAGTTGGCTCGGAACAGCAAAAAGCATCGAGACAAGGAGAGGGAGGTACCCTCGGGACGAGTCCGGTCTGCAGCTCCAGGGACGTTTTGCTGATGTGCCGGGTGCTCCCTGGCTCCCTGAGTTCCAGCTCTGCTTGCAGCTCAGTAGTTTAATTCATCCAGGTCCCCACAGTGAGACTCTTCACTCACCCTCCCTTCCGCGAGGTCAGCGGAACACCTCTTCCTGGCCATCCTTAGAGCACAGCCAAAATAGCCTCGAGCTCTGTCCTGGCTCGGGGGCCCTGGGCGAGGAGCTGAGCATCGGTCTCCTGCAGTCCACGTGGAGATGCTGGGTACAGCTCATCACAAGGACTGACCTCATCACACACGTAAGGAACTGGCATGTGCCTGGCCCTCAACAGGTGTGGCTAATATTAGCAGGCTTGCTTCTGCCTCAACTGCTACTGTCGTTATTACTGGGGTATTAATATCACAGCAGGAAATGGTCTTCAAGGTCACAGAGCTTGAGCTCTCAAATTGACTGAGGGATAAACAGGAAGGCCGGGAGCAGGTCAGCAGCAGAGCTGGAATCAGAACCTGCTCTCCCGGCCCACCCAGCGGGTCCCAGTGTGACTGTAAGCTCCCTGGGGGCAGGGGACATGTGGCAGTGTCTGCACACACACACACACACACACACACACACACACACACACACAACCATCCACTCCTTCTCTCAGCAGGCAGTTCTCTGAGCTCATCCCCTGGGCCAGGCACCATGCCAAGCGCTGGCTGCCCACAACAGGGCTTGGCCCAAAATTGCTTCGATCAATGTTTGTGGATCGATCCTTGGCCTCTCCCATCTGGCTGGACACTGAGAATCCAGGCTGGGGTGGGGATTGGAGAGGGCTCCATGAGCCTCCCCACCAAACACCAGGAACCAAAACACAGCTGTCACTCCCAGCAGCTCTCTCAGATCCACCACCTGCTCTGAGATTCTCCAGGGTGAGTCAGGCCTGAATCCTCATCCCCTTAGCAGGGAAGGAATCAAGGCCCAGAGAAGTTTAGTGCCTGACTCAGGACACACAGCCAGAGGTGGGAGAGCCGGAGCTGGAAACACAGGTCTCACTCAATGCAAATTCAAGATTCCAGAGCACAACGAGCTCAGGCAGGTTGAGAGACATCAGGACGTGCCCGACAGCAGGGAGCTGAGAGAAGGGTCTTGAGGGTCTTCATGGGCAGAGGGGAGGGTCAAAGAGAGAAGTCTCTGTTGGTGTGGGCGTTGCAGAAACCATGCTCCCAAAACAGCCACTTCTCCTACTGTCTGATCAACTGAGCAGCTCCAGCCTCAAATACTTCACGCTCAAACAGCAGGGCATCTGTGCCAGGCAAAGCCCAGCCGGCCTTGCAGAGCCACTCATCCCAGGCAGGGCGGAGCGTGGAGAGGAGTTGGTGGCCATACTCAG